GTGGCTTCCTTTGTACTGGATCACCCCTATTGCTGACATTCATATCTGGGGTCTGGAAGGGGCTCGCCATTGTCTGGGTCTGATTAAGTCGATATTTAATGTATCCTCCTTGTATAAAAGACAATAAATCATCTCTTAATGTATTTAATTCACTTTGAAATTTACTAAGCTTTTCCATTAGTACTTCTTGTTTCCTTTCTTGTTCCAGTTGCCACTGCTATAGTCTCTCTTCTTGTTTATTTTCTCTTTCTTCTTGTTTCTTTTCTTTTCCTCCAACAACTGCTGTAATCTCTTTTCTTTCTTTTCTCATTCTTCTTGTTTCTTTCTTTTTCCTCCAACAACTGTTGTAATTTCTCTTCTTATTTCTTTTCTTTTTCCTCCAACAACTGTTGTAATCTCTCTTCTTGTTTCTTTCTTTTCCTCCAACAACTGTTGTAATCTCTCTTCTTGTTTCTTTTCTTTTCCTCCAACAACTGTTGTAATCTCTTTTCTTGTTTCTTTTATTTTTCATCCAACAACTGCTGTAATCTCTCTTCTTGTTTCTTTTCTTTTCATCCAACAACTGCTGTAATCTCTGTTCTTGTTTATTTTCTCGTTCTTCTTGTTTCTTTTCTTTTTCCTCTAACAACTGTTGTAATCTCTCTTCTTGTTTCTTTTCTCGTTCTTGTTTCTTTTGCTGTTCTTCTTGTTTCTTTTCTCGTTCTTCTTGTTTCTTTTGCTGTTCTTGTATTGCTGCCATCAAATCTGCTAAGCTGTAGTTTGATTTGCCACTTCTTGTTTCCATTTTTTTTCCTTTTCTGTCCCACTCTCTGACTACCAATTTGTTACGTCTCTGTGTTTGTTTGTTAATTTTCCGTAGAAAGTCTTTCCAAAGCAACTTCTGCAATACAAGTACTTTCTTAAATAAAACTAGTTTATTCTTTCTCAATTCAACTTTGCAACGAACGATTCACGCACTTTACTTACGGTGGTTATCGGTGTCTATAACTTCAATCTCCCTCTCTGCTACTCCAGTTCCGAACGATCCTTTCCTTTGTCTGGCGTGCTTATATACAATCAAAAACGTGCACGTGGCATGCACTAGCATTTTTGCGAATCTTCTAGACACTCATCACATGTTACCAGCATCACGTTACTTCCACTGTCGTAACAATATTTTGAAAAAGGTTTGGTATTACAAATTTTCAAGCTGTGATACTCAAACATACAAGGCAGTTTATAATCTAAAACAGTACCGTAATGCAAGGTGTTGAATAAATCCAGTTGTAAGATGTCACATTGACTTACAATTCGGCAAAAACTGTAAAAAGTTACCCGTTACACAGTTACATTTTAGAAGTAAAATATTTAGTTCAGGTTTTTGTTTTACAATGACTAATATTTGATTATATTATAGATTAATTAATGTTACTATAAATGTTAATTTACTATTAATGTTTCATATGTATTAATTACACTAA